GCTGAGGGTGGTGAAACACTGGCCCAGGTTGCCCAGAGAGGTGGTGGATGCCCCATCCCTGGAAACATTCAAGGTCAGGCTGGACACGGCTCTGAGCAACCTGATCTAGTTGAAGATGTCCCTGCCCATGGCAGGGGGGTTGGACTAGATGACCTTTAAAGGTCCCTTCCAACCCAAACTATTCTAAATCATTAGAATGATTCTATCATTCTAATTGTCTGTGCTGCCAGAGGTAATGTTTACAGCCCCCTTACTGAAACATTTTCTCCTTCTACAAACCGGGAACGATGGCCAACAGCAAAATGAGACAAGAAACCCTTGCTTGCATCCCAAAAGAAACTAGGGCTGTTGGCACACTCGTCATCACGCAAGGAATGAATTTTAAGAGAAGGGCAAGCCTTGCTTATGCCTGCTCAGCCCTTTCCAGGGCAGTAATTTCACCTAGCTCTCAGAGAAGACATAACTCAGAGCTCCAGAAGCAGGGACAGCCACATGAGCACCAATAGTAACACAGCATGCAAGCCTCTGTCCTTGAAGGAAGGCAAGAGATGCTGGTAAAATCCATCAAGTTGCCTTAAGGCTACAAGTATTGAAAGAGAAAAATGCTATGACCACAGGCTAAAGTTAGACTACATGCTTACTAAGATGTTGACAAGAATGTTAACCATTTTTTTATTCCGTTGTACCCACCCCACCCACCGCCACACATAAACCCCAGAAAAATAACAGGTGGAAGAAAGACTACAGTAGCGTAACAAGATTTAGGAACAGAAACTGCCTTTTTGTTCCGCGCATGTGAAGCACTATCATACCAAGGTCTTGGTCCATCACTGTGGCTCTTAAATGCCATCAGGTATACAGATCAGCAAGAGCATTAAGAAAAAAAAATTAAAATTAAGGAATTGTGGTAGGAAAATAAAACGTCAGGGTCTCTGTCTTCTTGCTAAAAGGAGATGCTAGGGTAGTTGTACCATGGTCCATTTACAGCGTCACAGCAAACTTCTCCATGTATTCAACCTTACATTAAGATAAGCTAACTAAACCATTCCTGAAAAAGATTAGCCTACTTGCAGAGATATGGGCCAGGCCCCTCTCGCAGCAAGCGCTACCACCA